TTGTTTTGGGTGGAGTACATAAATGATCTGCAACCCGAACATTGTAATTACATTTTGAGAGCTCACCCTTACACTCCAACGGTGCTCTTCAAGCTTTGGCTCCCAGCTGGAGGAGGATTAGGATTCCCTCTCTTCCAGCTGGTTCTGGGGAAGAGAAGGCTGTAGTTCTGTCTGAAACAAATCGTGGTTGATAACAGATGGCCTCCATCTGCACTCTGTAACTCTGGAAACTCAAATGCTGAAAGATTTCTTTGGACTTGATTAGTAAACAGGTAAAGTAGTTCTTAGTAATGGAGCAAACATAAGCAGGTCATGGAAGCTGTTGTGGATGCTATGAGGCCGTGACCGTGAACTTAGGGTGAAACAGTACAGAATGGTATCAGGAGGGTCTCTGACAGTGTTTAGAGTAATGGTAACTTAAAGGCAATGTTTGTGACTGTGGGAAGACATCAAGTGTTGTGATGAGTACCTACATCAATGGTATATACTACTGTGGAGGAAGTGTTTTTTAATGGCATTCTCTGACATTGTTTCAGCAAAAACTGTGTATAAGATAGCTGGTTAAGATGAAGGAGACTAATCCAATGTGCTGGTTGGATCCCCATTGTTAGTCCTTTCTGTTCTGGAGATTGGTGACAGACATGGAATGGCACATCTCTGAAGTTTGGTTAATAAAGGAACCTTATTTATTACAGAGCTTCGAAGTATAGTTAGGTAGGGAGGAGGCTGGAAACTGGAAAACACCACTAAATAAACATCTTGATTTCAGTGTTAGCTTTCTTATATAGTGAGGGAAGAAAAAGCAGAGATGTGTTTGCTGTGCACAGAATCACAGAATGGTTTGGGTTGGAAAGGACATTAAGATCATCCAGTTCCAACCCCCTGCCATGGGCAGGGACACCTCACACTAGACCACGTCGCCCAAGGCTCTGTCCAGCCTGGCCTTGAACACTGCCAGGGATGGAGCATTTACCACTGCTTTGGGCACCCTGTGCCAGCACCTCAGCACCCTTACAGGGAAGAACTTCCTTATATCTAACCTGGACTTCCCCTGTTCTGGGGGAAAGAAGATAATTCTGCTGCTCTGTGTTGCAGTGAGTGAGCTTCAGAAGCTGCTGATCATGAAGGTGCATGTAAAATCTTCAGCACGATGTCGGGGCAAAGCAGCTGCACTCACTTTGTACTGCTGCCAGGTTCTTACTCTCTTTTAAATATGCATGCATAAAAACACAGTTCCTGACTGCCTCACTTCACCTGGGTTTGCTAAATCTGGGTACCTTTGTATGGGCTGCTTCCAGAATACAGCTTTGGGTAAAGAAGACTTCAGGAACTTGAACTGCAGAGTTCCTGAATCAGTGTCAAATGAAGGGAGTTCCTTTATACTGCAAAGAAAGAAGCTGGAGCCTCCCTTCCCTCCTGCCCCCCCACTGCAGGCAGGAAGTCCTGGCATGTGATTCTGATTGTGACGTCCAGATCTCAAATTGTTTTAATCCTCTGATTAAAGGACTTCTTAGCTCTGGGAAGGTTATTTAACAAGTGACTGTCTAAATATTGCCAGTTGACATTCTCTAAAGTTCTTAGCATGTGCGTGTTTAATAGTAAGACAGTTTGAGTGTCAGCTCCGAGTAGTATTCCTTTTTTTGGTAGGTTTCTAGATGTCGTAATGTCTGCGTAGAGTTCAGCCTGTATTCAGCTTGTATTTCCCCTCTGGCTTTTCTGGTTCGTCTACTCTTTCTAGTAGCTTCAACATTTGAGGCAGACCTTTGCAACAACATGGGCTATTGGAAGTGAGGAGTAATGGTTTGTCACTAGTTTAAAATCAGACACACAAAACCCCATTGTCTAGCATGGATTCTCCAAAGCCGTTTATCAGTGCTCCTGGATGATAACTTCCTAGCTAAGAAACAAATGTACTGCAGTGGGGCTGGTTCTGTAAATACTGGTCGTGGTAGATTCTCTGGCATTCAGGGTGTTTTAAAGAGCAATGAAGAAAAAAGAAGTTGGTGTATGTGTTTCTTTTACAGTAGCTTTAATTTTACACCTACTCAATTCCAACCGCAGTGACTACTACAAGCAGATGTGTGGTTATGGGGCAAAGACACTCCTGGTTACTAGTGAGCCTCTGATGGTACTAAAATGTCTGCAGGAAGTGAAGTTGAGTATGTTTGGGTTGCTGGCAGTGGGCTGCAGAGTTGACTGTGAGTACTGAGGAGTTTCCTACCTCACTTTTCCTAAATTAAGAAGACTACAAAGGAGATGGATTGGCCCAAACTAAGCTTTAACATTCTTGCCCGCCTCCTCTCCATAGGCGTCTTTAGGAGGGGGTACAGCCTCTGAATCCATAGGGAGCACGTTTGGTTTCTAGACATCCTTTGTATAGTAACACCATGTGCCGAGAGGCTGGCAGGCTGCAGCGCACTGTCAGTCCAATTTGTTCTGGCTCCCTCCCTCGCTGAATCTGGTGACATCACACACAGAGATGTGCTTGCGAGAAAAACAGCAGAAGGAGTTGAATGGCTGCCAAAAATGTGCCGTATGAAACTGAGCTGGCTGCTCCCAGGCTTGTTTTCACGACTCCCTCATTGTGTGCTTGCGTTTTCCACTTGCCAGGATGTTCTTTGCTGAACAAACACAGCAGCAGTGAAATCTCTCCGTACTTAGCACAACGCAGTCTCACATAGAAGCTTTGGAGGAGCAGCCTCATCTCCACATTCAAAGTCATTCCTATTTAATAAATTATTCTAAAGCATCATCCTTGAGTTGGTTCTTCCAAGCTGAGCAGTTTTTACATGGGGACATCCAAATCTGAAGGACTGTGGGGATGAACAGGGAATGCACAAATACTGCCTAGGAGAGATAAGAAAGACCATCTTAGACTGCCTAATAGAGGTTCTGTAAAATTCTCTTTGATTAGATAAATTGCTCATGAACTTCCTGCAGAGGATACATGAAAGAGTTTACTTCTGAAAAGTTGCATGGATGTTCCAGCTTTACTTTCCCAAAGGATACAGGATGGCCACTGTGAGATGAGGCCAGCTGTGTTTGGGGCCATTTTCTGGTACTTTCTGGTCCTCCTGTAGGTTTTATTCATGACAAAATAAATAGCAAGACAGCCAGTGGAATTCGCTGCTGAGCTTTGCTAGTCAATGACTTAGAGAAAAAGAAGACATAGAGAGGACCATAACAAACATAATCGTTCATGTCTTGTAACGTTTCATGAGGAATAGGCAGCTATTATCGTCACATAAGCATTTTATAAGTACCTCAGTCACATAGTTGTGTGTAACTTTATGAAGCTATCATTGACTCTAAACCAATTCACTTGTGAATTGCTTATACAATTAATTCCCCATTACTTGGATACAAGTCTGCAGGGGCTGCAGTAGTGCTGCTTTTTAATGCAATAGCAAAGTACGCTAGAACTAGTGAAACAGGGTCACAGAAGACTCCTTCAAAGCAAAGACATGGGGAGAGTATTGTTCCAAGAACCATGGTAGTTTCTTGCAACCAATATATGACCAGATCCAAAGGATGAATAAACATCCCAAATTGTATTCGAAAGGATTCTAAAGCTTTTCACTGCAACTTTGTGGTGAATCCAGGTCCTTGCATTTGTTTGAGAGAGGACCAGCAGACGCCAGACAGGGATCACTGTGTGCTTTAGTTCTCGTGCTGATCTGCTTGTTGACATTACTCAAGGAGTTTTCTCTGTGCATTTCCTTATCTGAAAATGAGCTAAAGTGTTCTGATTGTTTCCATTTAGTGTGTGTTTTAAGGAGCACACCTCGGTCTGTAGGTACACTGGGTCTGTACACCAAGTAAAGATAGAGCTTGAAACTTCCAGTTTTTATATTACTGTGCTATAAACGGACCTGATTTCTGCAGGAAACTCTTCTGGATGTAGCTTTTGCTTTGGCTTAGCCACAGTGAAGATTCCTTTAAGTTCTTCTGGCATATGCTTCCATACAATAATTATGTGCATATGTAACTGCATAATATACCCTGAAAAAGGTTGGTGTGAAATCACACATTAACATGGTACAGCTATACAAAGAATGTGTCTCAAAACTTACCATAATCTATCATTTTTTGTGTTTCCAATGTTTTAAATGTGATTTTTAGCAGATTTTTATTACATTTTTAAATTAAATTTTGCTTATAAACTGGAGTAGAAAGAATTTGGTAGATTATGAAATCCAGCACTTAATGTTACTGGATATAAGACTCTCCTTTCGTTCTCATTAGTTGATCAAGTGCCACTTTAAAACAACCAGTTATTGTACTTGCTACTTCTTTGAGGAGGCTGTTACAGAATGTCAGTCATTTGGTTTAAAAACCTCCAGCTTATTTGAGGTCAAAGGTATAGTTGGCTAGTTAAAACCTGGTTTTGCCTCATCTTTACGTCTTTTTCCCCTCTTTTTAACCCTCCTGGACTTTTTCAGAGAGAGCAAACCTGTTGGTCTGCAGCATACTGACATCTATTCTTATAAGAGTAGTTAATAGTGGCACAGTTGTTCTACTTGCTCTATAATACATTTTATTCCAGGTAATGTATTGCAAATGCTTTTGACAACTGCACTACCACTTTCTGGATACCTGATGGGAATGTCTTAAGACAACTGTGCACTGGGGTCATCTGTGCCTTTTTTCCACCACTGCATCACCTCATGGCTCATTCGTTGACAGATTAAGGCATCAGCTCTGCATTAGGTTGTGTATTAATTTTGAATTCTCTTTCCCATCATGCTTTTCCAAGTTTTCCCTAGCCCTGGAATTCCATTCTCTTCTCCTTTGTACCTGGGTGTATGCGTCTTGTCTTTAACCTGAACAGAAATCAGATCTCTACAGTTAATGCACTATTGTGTGGTGAGGACTGACTGAAATCTGTGAGACAATGCCACACGTTGTTTACATGTTATATAAACGTGTCTGTGACTTTGTGTGTTATGAGTTGCTCCCTTGATATACTCAGTGCTTTTCTTGTCTGTTTTCCTCCTTAGCCGGTTGCTGAACCAATTCCAATCTGCAGTTTCTGCCTTGGTACAAAAGAGCAAAATCGGGAGAAGAAACCTGAAGAACTCATCTCTTGTGCTGACTGTGGCAACAGTGGTAAGTGCCCATTTACAATGCTGCTAGCAATAACCCATCCTCTTGAGACAGAAGAGCTTGTTATAATGACTGCTGCTGACCCGTACATATGAGGAGTATGCATCTGATAATAACCTTGCCACTTGAGACAGAGAAGTCTAGTACAGTGACTACTCCTGACCCAGACGTATGAGTAGTATGCATCTATGGCATATAATACGATAAGTTCAGCTGGATCATGTGCTCCCAGAGGGGTAGACTGTTAAGTTAACCTAACACAGATAGTTCATGTGGGTCCTGGGGGTTTCTGTAAAAGCGTGGTAGTGATGACCAGTTTTATGATGTTCCTCGATTCAGTACTGAAAACTTACCTTGGTGTTCTTTGTGGGCCTGCCACTTGCTATCTGGGGTATTGGGTTTGTATTTATAAGTAGATAAGAATAGAAGCACTTAAAAATAGGAGTATCTGGATAACCAAAATGATGCACGGGAATATGTAATAGATAAAGTAATCTCTCTGTGAGCTCTTTGTGGTTTTACAGGTATGATTTTCTCCTCTTTCTGTAGGTCATCCGTCCTGTTTAAAGTTCTCTCCAGAGTTGACAGTTCGAGTGAAAGCCTTGCGATGGCAGTGTATTGAGTGCAAAACATGCAGTTCCTGTCGAGATCAGGGCAAAAATGCTGTGAGTACAGTGGAATATGGACTGAATGAAGAGGACATTGGGCTTGTGGATGTCCTGTTAAACTACAAAATAAAATCATTCTAGAGTCAAATAATTGCAGCTTTTGTGAGAGTCTGGTAGTCTTTGATACCTGTGAAATACCATATGTCTGTAGCTGAAAACTAAGCGTGTGTTCTCTGAGATGGTGGCAAATTAATTGAGAGCTTAATGCGGATGCACATCTAAAGAGAGATTAACTTTATCTGTCTTCAACAGGATAACATGCTATTTTGTGACTCGTGTGACCGTGGCTTTCACATGGAGTGCTGTGACCCGCCTCTTACCAGGATGCCAAAAGGTGAGGACTTGTGATGAAAAGAGCTTCCATATATATTTGACAGCTGGGGCCTTTGGTACTGTTCCTACCCTTTCTGTAGGAGGGCCTGGGCCTGTGTTCTCCTTCATGTCCTCTATAGAAGTCCCTTGCATTCAGTGATGGGGATTTGTGTCTTGTAGGTATGTGGATATGTCAAATATGTCGGCCACGGAAGAAAGGAAGGAAACTCTTACACAAGAAGGCAGCCCAGATAAAACGACGCTATACTAACCCAATAGGACGTCCCAAAAACAGGTTAAAGAATCAAAATACAACGTAAGTCTCTCTAAGGAGGAGTAAGGTGTGAGAGTCAGTAGGACAGTGGGTATTTCTGGTGTCTGGTCTACTCTGTGAGAAGATCTCGGAATTCCGAGTTTCATTATTCTTTAATACAGAATTTTGGTAAAGTGCTGTGAAATAGTAGAAGTAATCTCAGAGCTTCTTTTTGTCCAGTTTTTTGACTCTTTGTAATAATTTATTATTTAGTTCTGAACTATTCCTTATAGCCATAGATGAATTTTGCTGTCCCTGTCAAGTCTGTTTTGCTGGATCACTGCTTCTTTCCAGCGCAATTGTTTTCCTTTGCATTTCTCAAGAACCCTTTCTGATGTTTAGAGAAACTAAGTAATCTCCAATAAAGAATGTGAGATTGTTGTTTGACATAAATTAATCTGATGCTGCTGCCAGAAAGTATTGGACCCCTTTCTGCTTCCATTCCACATATTTCTGCATTTGTGGAGCACTCTGTGCTGGGACAGATTGTGTGGCCTTGTCATGGTTGTTGTGGGGCAGGGAATTGGATCTGGGTGGGTGGGAAGATGTTAGTCCACTTTACAACCCAACCCAACCCACCTTACCAAATCTTCTTTCCTCTTCTCATTCTTTAGATCAAAAGGTCCTTTCAGCAAAGTTCGGACTGGCCCTGGTCGGGGTCGGAAGCGTAAGATCACCCTGTCCAGCCAGTCAGCATCATCAGAAGGAGGATACCTGGAGCAGACAGATGTCTTGGACTTCTGCAGAGATGGCAGCACCACCCTGAAGTTTAACAAGAAAACCAAAGGGCTCATAGATGGCCTTACTAAATTCTTCACTCCTTCCCCTGATGGACGAAAAGCTCGAGGGGAAGTGGTAGACTATTCTCAGCAGTACAGGATCAGGAAAAAGGGTACCAGGAAATCTAGCACTTCAGAATGGCCCACAGGTAAAGATTTTTCACCCTGCCAATGTAAGTATCCTGTACACCAAGAGCATGTTCAAAGGCTAGGATGTTGAAATTACTAGAATGAGAACTCTGAGCTGAAAGTTAACACTTAAATGCAGGCAGTTGCCTTTGGTGCATTGAAGCAGCATACCAGTTGGAAAAGGAGGTGATCCTAGAGACCTTTGCTGCTGTATATGATGATGGCAAGGTGTGATGAGGGATTAAATGGTTTCTGTGAGGTAAAATGCCCTTTGGTAGCGAGGGGTTTGCAGATAGCCCTAGGAAATGTGCTACATAATGTCATATTTGAAAGACTTATCGTAGGGAGAGAAAATCAGAAGAGCCAGGTAGAAATATGAAATGGGAAACATAATTAAAACCAGCCTGACAGACCTGTGGGTTTCTGATCTATGGTATGGGCTCGCAAGCAAATGTTTCTTAATTTCCTCAGCCATAGAGGAGCTTTCTTTGGCACCTTCCTGCTGCAGAGCATCCCTTCTTTTGAACGCAGTCCTGTTTGCCTTGTTTCCTATTCTAGCTTAAGACATTAATCTATGACTGGACCTTGACTTAATCTCTGTATTCAGGTCTTGTTGAGTAATTACATAGCTTGAATTGTTCCTAAGGAAGCAGTGGAAAATATTCCACAATAATCTATGAGGTTTAAAGCTTTAGAATAGTTATGTGCATTAGCCTGGCTGGTGCTGAAAGAACAATAGTGTATCTTAGTGCTTTGGGGGTGAGGTGAAGTGTGTTGTGGGTTTAGTTCGCTTGGTTTGTGGAAGCGGTGTTTCTTGGGCAGTTTGATCACACATCCAGAGCTGGTTCTTCCTTTATGGTTTATCTGAATAGAAAATACCATAAGCAAAAAACTTGGCAAAGTGCCTGAGTGCAGACAGATGATATTTGTAGCTGCACTAAAAGCAGGTACTCCTTGGTAAATGTAGGTGAAGGCAATTTTCCTTCTCATTTACAGACAATCAGGATGGCTGGGATGGAAAACAGGAAAATGAGGACCGTTTTTTTGGGACCCAGGACGTCTTAACTGAAAAAGACATGGAGCTGTTTAGAGATATTCAGGAACAAGCACTGCAGGTAAAGTTAAGCTTTCAGTAAGTACCAAATCCCAGCACAACCCAAGAACAAGAGCTAAGAAATAGGGGCTGCAGGTGAGTCAGTCAGAGAAGCCAATGTGCTCGATTTCTGCTGCTTCCCAGTAACGGGGAGCTGACCTCAAGAGAGCTGAAGGACAATGTAAAAGTGGGCATAAGAGCAGAAGAGGTTAAGATGGGAATCTGAAATGCCTTGAGAGCTGTGGCTTTACTTGTGTCAGAACATAGATAAATAGCTGCTAAAATGTGTGGGCTGTTAATAAAATACTGGATACTTTACTAGCAGCAAACTCCCTAGGTTTGTTCTGGTAGATAGCCTAAGATGAAAGGGGATAAGGAATAAATCTGTAAACTGATGAGGGGAAAAAGAAGTAGTAAGTAGTTGTGGATCATATGCAGGTAGTGAGCTCTACGACTTTATTTGGCTGACTCCTGAAACACTCTGTTTAGCTTCTGGATAAACCAGAAGGAAACGAATCAGGTACTGATGCCTTTATTTGGAGCTCTTGGATTAAACATTTTCAGAGGAGATTACTGTCCTTTTTCATCTAGATAGAGCTCCTTAAAATGGGTCTGCCCAGGAGTAGATTCTGAGGTGACTTCTGCCTATGCCAGGCCCACTGAAAAAAGATAGTATTCAGTTTTGCTGTGTACCGTGCAACAGCGTGAAAGGTAGTAGAGATACATGGTATGACAATGCTCACTGATTCTTCCTTCTTGTGAATCACATGCTTGATGTGTCACTGGTACCGGGTTTTAGTGTCACCTCACTCTTTGTGTGGAGGGACTGTGCAGATAAGAATGGTTTAATTCAGCTTAGAAGCCTTTCCCCGGGAAATTCACGGCAGCTTGTTTTTTCCCCTTGCATAGAAAGTAGGGGTGACTGGGCCTCCTGATCCGCAAGTGCGTTGCCCTTCTGTCATTGAATTTGGCAAGTATGAAATCCAGACGTGGTACTCGTCCCCATATCCACAGGAATACTCGAGGTAAGAATATGACTGAACATACTCCGCCTCTGTTCTGCTGCAGTGTTTATGGGAAAGCTCTACCCCAGCCAGTATAGAAATCTGAAGAAGATTCTATCTGAATGTAGCCAGAAGCAAAGTACATGTAATCCTGATCCTTCTCATGGCAGTTAATAGATGTTTCAAGGTGTTTTTAGGCTGAGTCAAAAGTTGATAAGCTCTCTGCAACAACCTACGTCTGCTGTGAGCATTTGAATTGCCACAGAATACATAGATTGATTCCTATGAACTGTTTTTATGCTGTATGTAGTTCAGCACAGCTAAAGAAGAAATGTTTAATGTTACAAGTTTTGGCATCTGAAAGATTGTTCTGCTGTGATGTACATATGGTTGGTTTGATGTTCTCTTGCTTAAGAACTTTGCAAACTGTCTGCACTGCAAACTGTCTGAACTTCATCTTGATTCAGAGAGAGGAATAACTTCTAAGGGCTATAGATAGAGAAAATGAAATAAAACTCTTTATCATTTAATAAGAGCATGTGGCCTGTCATGAGGAATTATTGTAGCTCTGCTAAAGGCATTGAAGGTAACTGAAAACAGCATCCCTGTGCAAGCTAGATTATGTAAATGAACTTAAATCACAATAACATTGGGACACTTGCATTCAAATTGTTCATGTCAATACAGTATGTTAAATGGCTTTAAAGCAAACAGATGGTGGTGTGACCCGTTGCTCAGGGGTACATACAGCTGTCTGTTACAAGGAGGGAAGGGAGAGAATAGGAACTATTTATCTAATCCGTCCTAGTGCCACTAGTGCAAAACTGGAGGAGGGTTTGCTGTTTTTTCTAGGATTTTCATCAATGCAGGTATTTCTTCTGACATAATAATGTAAAAGTGATTGTGCAGGATGTAGAATACATATTTTTAACATGTGTTTGTTACAGGATAATTAAGTGCCATGACTCTCAGTATGGTAAGGTGGTTTTGGCCTTTAGGCACATGCATTAGGTCAGTATATAGTGGTTTTGTTTTCGTCAAGTTCTCTATCTCCAGGAGTGAGGAGCTTTATACAAAAGTCTATATATTCAGTCTCCGATCTTTCTTTGACTTTGCTTACAGGCTACCCAAGTTGTACCTTTGTGAGTTCTGTCTAAAGTATATGAAAAGCAGAACTATTCTCCAACAGCATATGAAAAAATGTGGTTGGTTTCATCCTCCAGCCAATGAAATTTACAGAAAAAACAATATTTCAGTCTTTGAGGTAAGTAAGAAGACTCCCTGTTATCTGTAGCATAATGTCTTTTGCACCCAATCGTGTGGTAAGTTTTCCATAGCCCTAAAGATCTTCACTCTTAAAAGGTTCAGTGGCTAAGAGTGAACTATGAGCAGGCAGTGGGAGCTGACCTCATGGGTCGATTATTCATCCACAAAACATAGGAGAAGGCTCACTGTGTCAAAGTGCTTTTTCATTTTAGGAAAATGAATGTTAAGTCTTCTCTTAAGCTAATGAATGTAGCAGCGACTTGGCCACAGCCTTTATGCTGTGGAAGCTTTAAGTCCTTTGAGACACTACCTGTGATGGAGAAGTCTTCCTCTTGTATTAGACATTTCAAATGTGCAGGTATACCCCGGTGAAGCATGTCCTTGTATGACAGCAAATGGAGTGACAACCTTTTCCTCATTTCTGTAAGGTTGATGGCAATGTCAGCACTATCTACTGCCAGAATTTGTGCTTGTTAGCCAAGCTTTTCCTGGACCACAAGACACTCTATTATGATGTGGAGCCATTTCTTTTCTACGTGTTGACACAGAATGATGTCAAGGGCTGTCACCTTGTTGGCTACTTTTCCAAGGTAAGTGTTTGAGTACTTCAGAATTGGAGCTGCATTTACTATGGTGAGAAATGCTACTTCAGAGTTGTTACGTTGTTTGTAACTTAGGCCTTTATTTTATGTCATGTAATATAGGTGTAGACCTCTGTTGCAAACAGATTCTGTGTTGCTTTTGGAGACCACCAACTAACAAACCCAAGTTTCCTCATAATGTTGAAGAGCATATATTCTGTAAGGAACTTGTACTACAGCTAGTAGCTAAAAACCCCCTACTTTTCAAGTGACATCCTGGTTTTGGTGGTGATGGGTAGTATTTACCATCTGCAAGATAAACATTTTACCAAGTAGTTGTATCCCATCTTTCCTTCTGCAAAGAAATTGTTTTTCAAACAAGTCTGGCAATTTTGCACCTGATTTCACAGACTCACAGAATGGTTTGGGTTGGAAAGCACCTTAAGGTCATCCAGTTCCAACCCTCTGCCATGGGCAGGGGCACCTCACACTAGACCATGTCACCCAAGGCTCTGTCCAGCCTGGCCTTGAACACTGCCAGGGATGGAGCATTCACCACTGCTCTGGGCACCCTGTGCCAGCGCCTCAGCACCCTCACAGGGAAGAACTTCCTTATCTCCAACCTGAACTTCCCCTGTTTCAGTTTGAACCCTGTTTCAGTTTGAACCCATTACCTCTTGTCCTAAACCTTTTAGTTTTCTGACAGAACAGGGCCAAGATTTCAGATAGATTTTCTCCAGATTTTTGTCTGTAATTGTTTTACTTATTTTTCAATAGCTTTAGTTGAAGCTTTTCCTTTCAGCCTTCAGAAGCGCCATTTGAGGTCAGATTTTAGGATGTTCTGGTTATGACATTTAAAGATTCACTGGAATATGGCAATTTTTTTCGGGGAATTCAGCTGCTTCAGATTTCTGCTTTGCACTTTCTGTGCTATGAACGAGACATATGAACTTGACTCATGTACATCGTTGTTCCTGAGAAACTCTGTTGCTTTATGTCTCAGTTTGTGCCATAACCATAATTAGGGGCTTGTACAGAACAATTTTGATTTCTCACTTGTTGTCTTTTCCTTTTTGTTTTGTTCCTGCTTTTCCAACAGGAGAAACACTGCCAACAGAAGTACAATGTGTCCTGTATAATGATTCTTCCTCAATACCAGCGTAAGGGCTATGGCAGGTTCCTAATTGACTTCAGTAAGGAACTTTTTCTTCACTTTTTTTAGTGCATGTAGTTCTTTCTACAGAAATCCAACCCTAAAACTGCACCTTGATTAAGTAGTGTCTTAAGCAAAAGGTAGTCATAGGTATGTTTTAATTTAGCTTTGAGAGTAAGAAACCCAGACATACTGAGGCTCTGAATACTCAAACCATTCTCACATTCATACATGGATCTCAGCAAGTTCATAGGGAAACTTGCCACTGTAACTATGTCTCTGTTGTTATGCTAAATGCAATCCAGTGTAGCCCATGTATGGCCCGGAAGTTTGGCAGTAGAAAATATTCAAGTAAATGCTTTTAAATGGCTAAAATCTGTTTTCCCTCTGTCATCTTCAAAATTACTGCTGCAGCTGGAGGATACTCAGCAGCCTGGTTGTATACTTCGAGTTTCTAAGTAGAGAGCTGCTGCCATCTCGTGGCGTTGCCCATAGCCCCTGTGTGATGGTGATGCAGTTCAGGAATCTCCACCACTGTGTCATTGAGCAGGACTTTAAACCAAAAAAAGCCCAACCAACTCAGCCAGACCCCCCAGTGTATCCCTCAGAATTATGATCTGGATCTTGCAGGCAGCATTCAGCTACTTCCTGGATAAAAAGCCTTTTTTGGGGTGGAAACAGAAGCTGCTAATTTCTTGAATTTCATTTCTTGTGTGTCTTCAGGCTACTTGCTTTCAAAGCGTGAGGGTCAAGCAGGATCACCAGAGAAGCCTCTGTCAGACCTGGGGCGCCTCTCCTATATGGCTTATTGGAAAAGTGTAATATTGGAGTGCCTTTATCATCAACATGACAAGCAATTAAGCATCAAGAAATTGAGTAAGCTGACTGGAATCTGCCCTCAAGATATCACTTCCACTTTACATCACCTACGAATGCTTGACTACCGCAGTGATCAGTGAGTACAGGAGTCCTGTTGTATTTCCGAATAGCTTCCAATGTATTTGAATGAAATTTTAATGGCATTTGGAGCCAAATCTCTTCTAATAAGCTTGCTTTTATTTAAGACTTAAATATCCAAATGAGTGTACAAGCCAAGTGAAATACTTGGCATTATTCTTGATTCAAACCATAGCAATTTGGGGAGTGGGGTTGTATTCTGTCGTGTTTTGTGTTAAACTTGGAACTTAACTTGGAAAACTTGAAGTTATTTGAGAACAGTCTTATGTCTTCATTTCACAGTGTATTTTAATCAGTGATAACTACTCCCAGCCCCTGAATAAAATGTACTCTGGTAGTAGGGCTATAACTTTTTAAAGCAGTTCTCTTATTACCATTCAGTGTCTTTGACCTTATGTTGCCTGTTCCGCAAATGACATACCCCTGTCCATTTAACACGTAATAAAAGTGATAGTCTGCAGCTAAATGTTGCCCGTGGAAGGATAATGGCTTCACCATTAACAAGAAGTGGAAAGAATTTAATATTTTCTCAGTTTTCAGATGCTTTCTCTGGTAGTCTGGTACAGCAAACAGTACAGTTTTAAAGAGCTTTCTGTCCTCTCTGAGTTACTGCTGGCAGCACTGATTGAGAGTACACAGCTTTATCTGTAATACCTTACATCTGTTTCACATGACAGCATGTACTGAGTGTAGCCTGTTGTTGATCAGAGTGTTATTGCTCTTTAGATTTGTGATCATTCGTCGGGAGAAGCTTATCCAGGAACATATGGCAAAGCTTAGAACTAATGTCCGACCTATAGATGTGGATGCAGAATGCCTGCGTTGGACGCCTGTTATAGTTTCCAACTCGGTTGTCTCTGAAGATGAAGAAGAGGAGACAGAGGATGGGGAAAACGAAGAGCAACAGCAGCAGAAAGAAAAAGACTCAGAGACCAGTGTAAGAGTGACTCTGTTACTTCCGTGTGGCACCTAGGTTACGCTCAGTGCTTTTGCAGGCAGTGCAAACAGGATTGCAAATGCCAAGCTCGGGCATTTGGCATAATAGTAAAAAACAATAGTCATGATTAGTTCATGTGTCTTTATAATTTCAGATTAGAACCTAAAAATAGGGAAAACATTGAGTCTAGAGAAAGGTTAAAGACTATTTCTGAAAACAGTAAAAAGGCTTTTTCTACCCTTAATGATTTTTGTGATCTGGGGGAGAGGCAATGTTAAAAACCCCAAACCACCAAAAAATCTGCCTTTGGCTCTCAAGCAACCTCGTCTTTAATCAGATGATTGAAGTGGAATTTAGGTTTGAAGGACCCAGTATTTCTGTAGGTGACAAATAGCATGAACAGAAATGAATGAACCAAAAGTTTTAATGGTTCTCACCAAAGGTTTTTGCTGTGTTCTTTTCAAAACCACCAATAGCTCTAGAGTTCCTACGCACAGAGCAGTGAAGGGTTGTGACATCTAGGCTGGTGTCCTTGAAGGGTTGCACTCTCCCATCAGGTGATGAGCTCTTGACTAGACTACTAAGAGGATGTTACCGTATTTACATTAAACTAACTGTGCCTTTTAATGGCAAAATAGCTTCAAGTTTGCCTCACTTTTGTCTTGAAAATGAAACAAATCCTGTGTTTAAATGTAGCAAGATGATGTTTGCATTGCAGGAGGCTGATACTGACTGAAGCCACTGCGGGGAAGGTAATTAAGGTACTTTTGTCACCTGGGAGGGAAGGAGCAGCAGTTAGCACTATTAGAATCACAAAAAGGTCAACTGTTTTGTTGTTCTCACGTTCTTAAAAGCCATTCTTATTCAAGTTTTCTGACTTCTTGCTCGAAAAGCTTTAGTGGACTCAAAGTCAGGCTAGCCATGCATGCTTAAATAGGAAGTGTGAAATCTCTTTGTCTTTGTTTTTAAATCAGATGGTAAAATCTGTGTCATGGGAGAAGAAAGAGCAAGAGCCTTACTCACCTACAGAGAGTGAAAAAAAGCCAGACATTGTTGCTCCAGCCAATTCTGCACGGCCAAACAAGCACATTTTCCCCCTGGATAGTCTTCCTGCAAACAGCCAGCCATCACGAAGAGGGCGATGGAACCGCAAGAGCAAGAAACTTCGGGAGCCCTTTTGTGAGAAGGAGCCAATGTTGCCCATTGAGGACAAGCCGCCAGTTCCCAGTGGACGGTGCAGCGAATGCGAGGAGAAATCAGCAGCCTCCCAAGGCCGGTGCAGTGACTGTGAGGAGAAGTCAGCAGCCTTGCAAGGAAGATGTGGTGAATGTGAGGAGAAGTCTCCAGCCCCGAGAGGCCGCTATGCTGAAGAGGAGGAAAAATGTGCAGTTTCCCAGGGACAGTATGGCAAAGGGGAAGACTCTGCGGTTCCCCGGCGGCGGTACAGCGAAGGTATGGAAGGGTGGAGAGGACAGCTGAAAAAGAACACGGAGCCACTGAAGTGCAGATTCCCAGAGGACTGCGACAGGCTACCCCGCCGCTACAGTGACAGTGACAGGGCGCTTCTGAGGTGCTTCAGTGACAGTAGTGAAGAGGAAGATGATGAACCTGTGAGTCCTCGGTCGAGCTCTCCGCCTGTTCTCACCAAGCCAACACTGAAACGAAAGGTTTGTGCCTTATTTCTTCTTGTCTCTGTATCATGTGGTCTGTTTTGTCAGTATGGTGCTTTCTGAAGGACTGTGCCATTCATGACGGATGTATTAGCAGATGCTATCTGCATGCTTCAGTTTTCCAGAACTCTGGAGGTTACTTTCTGCTACCTATTTGTAGTGGTGGCTTTTGTTGACTCAGAGGTAAGTGTGTTGGTGGGGTTTCTGATTTTTTGGGATTTTTTAAACTTCTGCCTTGTGCCTTTGATTTTTCCACCTTAAAAAGTGGTTATTAAAGTTCTAGTCATGGAAAGCAGAAACAGATACAGTCCTACTTTAAAAGAAGCTGACAAAACACAAATGCTACCTACACAACTAACATCACAGCATAAAGTCTTTGGAATGATTTACCACAAAGATGTGAAAGCTGTCAACGTGACCAAGAAAATCCTCTCTTCGTGGAATGCTGCACTAAAAAGTTCTATATCATCTTTGCAGCTTTATTCACGTCTCTGTTGTAGTGTCTATGAACTTCCAGCTGTTATGGATGGGCTGTTATGTTAATGTCAGCTCTTTAAATGGTTTGTACTATTACACAAATGTCAGTGTAGTAATCTTCAGTGTAGTAATCTTCATGTAAGTTGGTTGTTCTGCATTGTATTTGACATCTGTCTAACTGAAGGCAGGTGCCAGTCAGTATTTCTAGTGAAGTCTGGGCTCCAGAAGGGAGTCCTCTGGTCCTGCTTAGACTGTTGAACTCTGCTGTTCACGTTTTCTATTTGTCAGTGTCTTATTTCTACTGCATGTGATAAAATGTCTTCTCTTCTCCTAACTTCCACTCTCTCGAGTCCGCAAGCGTAAGCACCACAATAGCAGTGTTGTCACTGAAACCATCTCAGAGACCACAGAAGTGCTGGATGAACCATTTGAGGACTCGGACTCTGAACGACCAATGCCCCGATTAGAGCCTACATTTGAGATTGAGGAGGAGGAAGAAGAGGAGGAGGATGAGGAGGAGGAGAATGAACTTTTGCCCAGTGGATACTTTCGGCATTTAGCCCCATCAGATACACTCAGGCATAGACCCTCTTCTAAGAGGAAGTCCAAAGATGAGGAGGAGTCTGATGACACTAACGGTATGTTTGGTGGTAGCATTTGAAAGTTTGATCTAGATGCTGTGCCAGTGAGTGTTAGATGATGCTAGCTCATGACAAAAGAAGCTGCTTCCCTTGTCTTTTAACTTCTAGCCAAAATGTAGGGTTAGGCATAAATTACCAGTCAGACCAGCCTGAAACATTCCCAAGTCTTAGGAAAATGTGGTGCATGCTTTTAACTATCTTATTAGCAATGACCTGATCAGAGGTCATTGAATCCTTTTGATTCAGCTTTCCTAGTGAAATTAGTGTCTGTGGGAAAACCTCTGCAGCAGGGTCACTTACAGAAACGAACCAGAAATGAATTGGAGAGCCCTCAGTTTTCCAGAACAAAGAAATAATAAGTTGTTCTCTAGCTTGAAACAGAGAAATGTTGGGAAAGGGCAAGAGAAATAGCTGATTATTTTTTTCTTTTTAAGTGGAATTACTCTTCTTTTTTGCAGGCCTTTAGTGTTAATGCTTTACCAAACCCCCTGAAAGTAGCGCTTCCTTCTTCCTGCCCAGTGATCCTCTGACTGTGGCAGATTCTTTCTTTCCTTTATTCACATTCCAAATATTTGTTTTATGGATGAAATTGTTAAATTTCAAATTCAGTATTTGTTTCAAATTCATCTTTTAATACCCAGGATTTTTTCAGAACACTTCTCATTGGAGATACTTGGAGTAAATGCCTGTCTGAGCAAAGGGAAGGAGTAACCCAGCTGCCCTACAATTAGGTTTGAGGAAGTGTTTGTGGACTACTAGGAGTCTATTGTTTACTTTTACCTTCATTGCATAACTATGGACTTAAAACGGCTCTTCTTGGGAAATTCATATAACATTTGTTATATGGATTCAATGACATTTGTTGAGATGGTGGAAAGGGCAGAAATGTGAATAAATGTACTCTGAATACTGGGGAATATTAATCTATTTATGGATAGATTAAAAAATAACATAGTAGCTGCCAGGAAAAGAGGGGATTTGGTAAATGAAGTGAAGGGCAATTCACTGGCGAAGTCTATGAGAGTGTGTTTGAAGGTCATGTGCAGTAATTAGGATGGGTTTGTAGCCTAAGGCCAAAGAGATTCAGATGATCCTAAATACATGAACAGGGGAATCTCAAGTGAAGTGGAGACGTTCTGTCATCTCTTTATTTAGCCTTGGTGAAACTGCAACAACCATCTTTACTCTGTTATTCACGCTTGATAGACTGGAATAGTTCACAAGAACAGTCGTGGGCTGATTAAGAGATTAGAACAAATGTTCTATAATAGATTCAAAGAAAGCAGGGGCAAAAGAGTGACTTGATAAAGTTACAAATCACTTAGGTGAGTAAGGAGATTTACTTATTTGATAAGAGAGATTTTCTGCCTAGCAGATGAAGGGAGAATTAATACAAAAGCAGATTAAGTAAATCCAGTGTCTGAAGACAGAAATTCAGATGGTAAAGTGTGAGTGTCAACTAGTGTCATTGATTAACTGTTGCAGCAGTTTACCAGCAGTTGTGTAAAATGAATCTAGCCCTATTCAGTTATCTGTGTCTCTGCTTAGAAGTATTTAAAAGCATTTAAAAGCATAAAGGTCCCCCAAAAGTGAAAATACATCCTTTCTTCAGCAGATGCGCAAGATACAGATCTAAATAGAAACATGTTTTTAATGCATCTTCATGTGTTCCCCTACACTGGAACATACTGTATGAATAACATTTTTGCAGGGTGTTGAGTTCTTCCAGGGCTGTATCATGCAGCCTGATGTTTCATCTGCATGTGTGTTAAAGGCTCAGGGCTTTGACCATGCGTGTGCTTGAAAGCACTGGTGTTCTTTGAGAGTGTAATGTGATTGCTGACAAGCAGACCTTGATCCTTCTTGTTGACCCTTCACAACAAATCTCTGAGCTAGTACTGATAGAAAAAGCTGATAAACATGGTGGGAATGCTTGGGAAAGCTTCCATGAATGCTCAGCCCAAACAAATGTGTTTGAACAGTGTCTCTTTCAACTTGTGTTTTCAGGTAACCCACCTTTGAAACCATTATCTATGCTGAGAAAATGCGAAGCTAAGGATTCTTCACTTGAGCCAGATACTTCTACACCCATGAAAAAGAAGAAGGGATGGCCAAAAGGGAAAAGCCGAAAACCAGTCCACTGGAAGAAAAGACCTGGGCGAAAACCAGGTTTTAAACTGAACCGGGAAAAGGAGCCACCGTCAGTTCAGGATGAAGGAGTTGATGCAGTGGTAGCAAATTCAAAACCAGGGCGTAAGCCCAAACTTTCAGATCAAGAGGAAAGTGTTGAGCAGAAAGAAGAGCTGCCCTTTATTGAGGAAAGGAAAGAGGAAGATGTGAATGTGGAAGCAGAAGAGGTAGGAGAGGGAGAAGAGGAAGATACAGCCAGCAGTGAAGTGAGAGCGGTTTCTCCTGTGGACAGCAACAGCAGTCCAGTGCCAGAAGTAAAAGAGCCTGAGATAGAAGAGGAGGTAGAGGAGAAGCCACGGGTTTTAGAAGAGCAGAGGCAATCAGAAGAAGAACAGCAAGAACTAGACGAACCTGAGCATGACCATGAGGAAGAAGAGGAAGTTGCAGTAGTAACAAATCAAAATGAAGATCATGATGCTGATGATGAGGATGATGGTCACCTGGAGTCTGTAAAGAAAAAAGAATTGGAGGAACAGCCTGTTAGAGAAGGGGTGAAGGAGGAGCCTCAGGTGCAAGAGTGTTTTTTAGAAACAAGCATACCGAGCAGTAGAGAAGATACAAAAGAAAAAGATGAAACAGAGGCGGATTCTGAGGAAGAGCAGGCTTCCAACGAGACATCAGTAGGCTCAGAGCACGTCCCTGGGTCTGAAGATGATCACGAAGAAGAGCAAAGTAATAAAGAAGGGTTAATTGAATTAAAGGAAGAGGAAGAGATTCCTCATAGTGAACTAGATCTTGAAACTGTTCAAGCAGTCCAGTCCTTGACACAGGAGGAAAGCAATGAGCACGATGTAGCTTACCAGGACTGTGAAGAAACTCTTGCAGCTTGTCAGACTTTGCAGAGTTACACCCAGACTGAGGAGGATCCTCAGATATCCATGGTTGAAGATTGCCAGGCCTCAGAACATAACAGCCCAATATCCTCTGTTCAGTCCCACCCCAGCCAGTCTGTACGTTCTGTCAACAGCCCAAATGTGCCTGCTCTGGAGAGCAGTTACACCCAGATAAGTCCTGAACAAGGATCCCTGTCCGCACCCTCTATGCAGAACATGGAGACCAGCCCCATGATGGATGTGCCTTCAGTATCGGACCACTCTCAGCAGGTGGTGGATAGTGGCTTCAGTGACCTTGGCAGCATTGAGAGCACCACAGAGAACTACGAAAACCCCAGCAGCTATGACTCCACTATGGGAGGCAGCATCTGTGGAAACAACTCTTCCCAGAGCAGCTGTTCCTATGGAGGACTGTCCTCTTCTAGCAGCCTCACTCAGAACAGTTGTGTTGTCACTCAGCAAATGGCAAACATTGGCAGCAGTTGCAGCATGATGCAGCAAAACACTGTCCAGCCTGCAGCAAACTGCAATATCAAGTCGCCTCAGAGCTGTGTAGTAGAAAGGCCTCCGAGTAACCAGCAACCAATGCCACAACAGCAGCAGCCTCAGTCACAGCAGCCGCAGCCGCCACCTCCACCCCAGCAGCAACCTCCGCTGTCGCAGTGTAGCATGAACAACAGCTTCACCCCAGCACCCATGATCATGGAAATACCCGAATCGGGAAGCACTGGTAACATAAGTATCTATGAGAGGATTCCAGGGGATTTTGGTGCTGGGAGCTATTCACAACCATCAGCCACGTTCAGTTTAGCCAAGTTGCAGCAGCTGACGAACACCATTATGGACCCTCATGCCATGCCTTATAGCCATTCTCCTGCTGTGACTTCCTATGCAACCAGCGTTTCTCTGTCCAACACAGGGTTGGCTCAGCTAGCTCCCTCTCATCCCTTA